ATGGTAATGGTAATGGTAATGGTAAAACATTCTTCGCCGTGGTAACGGTCATGGTAAAGAAAAAAATCACATCGATGGTAATGGTATGGTAAATGGTAACGAAAAAGTCACGGTAACAGGACTCTAGTGTCCACCATCTTTTGAAAAACGTTTTAATAAAGAGAGTTAGCAACCTGCGGTTTTCAGTTTCTAAGAGTAAAAGGTAGTAGAAGTGGAGATGTAATTATAAGGAACCCGCTGTCGGATTCACCGACAAATTTTGCATCTGGAGCCCAGTTTTTATCCAATTTGGTTCAGCGCGGAGCAAGCACCAAATTTTCTAATGTTTGGCGATCAAAAGTGTTATTTTTTGATGATCATGTCGATAGAAAGAAATTTGGTGATCAAAACAATCTTTTTTGGTAATCAAAAAACATACCCCTTCTTATATGTTCTTATCAGTGTCAGAGTAGCCAGTGTAAGTTTTTCAGTACGATCGATGACACTGATGCATACCTAAACATAGATGATTCATCGATAAAAATACGAATAAGGAAGAAAACGATGTAAATGAGAAAGACAGATAAAACAAAAGAAGAAACAACATCATGTTGTCTCATATTCTTAACTTAGGAAAACTGCTTTAAGAACCTCTGCTCGACAAGAACTTTTAGCGCAAAAGTGGCTCATGTCTTGACTGAAATATCAAGAGAACAAGAATCTTGCAGTGAGTCAGTGCATGTTTTCAAAAAAGATCTCTGCCTGAAATGATGATATTTAACGGTAATTCAATCCTCAGTTTGTTTAATACTGTAACTCAAAAACGAGTATTTCTGTATATCATGTCTTTTAAACTGCCATTTTTGTTTTCATTTTTTACATAATCTATTGAGAATGCACTTATATTTTCATTTTTATTGGAAAGGATGATTCATTGCAACCGTGAGAGAAATAAAAGAAGGAAAATTTTTTTTCTTTTGTATTCGCACAAGTCGATAAACAATAAACTATTTGGTTTAAATTCATATACCCTACTATGTAAAACAAGCGTCGATCAAGGTAGTCCGTTACTACTTTTATATTTTACATTTAAAAAAGCTTTCTTTTTTAGATAGTACAGAAACTGATTAAAATGAAAAACAAATTTAACTTTAAAGCAGAACACTGATAATATATGTAAATTTTATATATAAATACTTGCGTCTTTTTTTAAGACTGGTGTACGTGTAATTAGTTAAATATGAGTGCGTGTTGAAGTTTAGAATTAGGAGATAATAATTGAATCACAACGTGAAAAAATATGATGATCTATAATTTTTTAAATGTAAAATGTGTTGTTTGATTGAAGAGAAAGGAAAAACGTAAAAGAAAACATAAATGACGATTTTTGCATGTGTCACATTATTTTAAGTCATTCTTTTCATCAGAAGAAAACTGTATACAGAAATTAGTGGGTTTTTTCCTCCACTACAAAAAGATTAGTATGACCGACTGAAATTTATTATCTTCAAACAGAACAAATGTGATGGCAGTATCTCATTTTGAAGATTTACCAAACGAAATTATACTTCTGATTTGGTTTGAACTGGATAATTTGAATTCATTCCTCACTTTTTATAATTTAAATAGTCGATACAATAAATTATTAGAAAAATACGCATCCTCACATAATAATTTATCAACGATTTCAGAGACGATTTTTGATTCATTCTATTCTATATTATTACCTAAAATTCGTAATACTATCACGAAACTAAAATTATCAAATTCGTATCAACTGAGGCATCTATTTGAAGACAATAAATCCTATTTGAATCTAAACTGTCTGAAGATAAATCATTCATTTGCAACTGATCTCCCATTGTATTATAGTCTGTTTAAACAATTAAACAGATTAGAGATAACTATTGTTGACGTCTCCAGATGTTTCGATACGTTATGCGAAAAAGTATTTTGTATTGAGAACAAAGATTTACAAGTCTGTTCACTCATCTGCAATACTGGATGTATTATCAATGTATCCCTTAAACCATGTTTCATTCGACAGTTAACGATACATTTGGAAAGATTTTCAAGCATACTGCATTCGGTAGAAAATCTAAAGTAAGACTACTTTTAATCATCAATTGTGTTAATTTGAGTTTTTAAAGACATTTCTTGTTCTAGATTCATAGAGACATTAAATATCAAATGTCATTGCTGGTATGATCTTCGCTGTCATAATAGGACAGAGTTATTTGAACTGAATTATAACTATCAATCACTACAATCAAAATTATGTAACATTAAACACTTTATGCTGTATTTGTATGGAGATGCGTTCAATTATAATTGTCTCGAATCTTTTATACGTAATTTACCGACTCTGGAAAAATTATGTTTACGAGCGAATATCTCAAATCAATATGCACAATATCTTGATGGTCAAGGATTAAAGAATAGAATTTTATCGACGTTAACTAATCTAAATGAATTCCATTTTGATTTTCTTTCGTTGATTGAAACAAACTATCAGTATCTGTCGACATTTAAAAATGACGATTACTGGATTGACAAGACAATTGAGATGAAAAGTGGACAAATCAACATAAAACTGTCATCTAGACTGAATAATTTAGACTTACATTGTTTCTTATGTCACTGTTAATTACTCTGAGAATACCCTAGTGAATGTACTTGCTCAAGTACCCTCGCAGGTTTTGTCCAACGTTCTTGAATTTTTTTGCAAGTAAACCGAGTACTTGCTAGGAAAAACAAGTACTTGAATTACTCTTTCTTCTTGTCAAGTACTTTGCCAAGTATCTGTGGGAGATTTAGCAGGTGAGTCAAGTACCTGGTACGAGTTTTCAGGCATTTATCAAGTAGTACTTTTGAAAATACTTGTCAAGTATCTGTAGAAATTTCCAAGTTAATAAGTATCCACTCGCAAGTACATTTACTACGGTACGATTTCTTGATTAAATGAAATATTTATTCAGGCATAAAATGAAATGTATCTCAAACATGATGCGTAAAAGACATATTCGCACTCAGTGGACCTTTAATAAAAATAAATCACCATACATTAATTTACGTTTGTCCATCAATAGCCATAGTAACATCTTTTCCAAGTAGATTCAATTCATAAAAAGAAAAAAAAGAAAATTTTATACTCAAATCGTTTCTAATCACGTTTTTCACAAACAGCTAACATTAGTATTAATTTATCTAATGATTGTTCAAATCGTGATAGATTTCCAAATGTAAAATACAATAAAGATAATGTACGACGTTTCTTTTGTAATAGGTCACTAACTTCAATACCATCCTCGCATAAAATAAATTTTACTTTTGATGATTCTTTGAAAAAAGAATATTGCTTAGAAAATTCTCCATCAATAAAATCACGCATTATTTTATCATTTGGTAAACGTTGATTCTTATAAGATTTTCCAATTGATGGCATTGATAACAGCATTTGAATAGTACGTAGAAGGGGTATTTAATAGCCAAATCGCATAACAAGCGTAAATCGACGTCACTTTGGATTAAATTTTATCTAGAAGAACTGAAAAAAGTCAACTAGTAAAAAGTAAAAGTTTGAGCTGGTTTATAATGCTTCTTCGAGGTGTCCTCTCACAACTCAACCCGAATATTATTTGAATGTCAGTTTACTTGAGTTCTTAATAAAACCGGTTTTGGATCGATCATATTTAGATTATAACGATGATAATTCCTTCGACGAGGACGCCTTCCAAAACGAGCTGGTCCTTGTTCTTCAAAAACTGATTGATCCTAAATAAATAAATATAATACGTCAGCGATCAGAAAGTAACACACAAAACTCACTTTAACTTTCGAAAAATTTTCGAGAAAAGCATTAAATTTTTTCATTTTTGTTTGAATTCATTCTTCGGATATACTATGTAGTTTTAAATCAATGAATATTTTCACCACATTTGATTCAAAATGTTGTTGTGCATCTTTCTGATCAATTCGTATTTGTTGTACATCTAATAAACTTGTTATTTCTTGATAATCACCAAACGTTTGAGAATCAAATCGACTGAAAATCGTTGTACAATAGGAAGAAATCATTTTTCATTATTTGGAAAATATGTGCATCAACGGAATCGACATATTTTTTTTGGAATATGCAGAGAAGAGAGTATATCCGAGTAAAAACTCAACGATAATGAAATGAAAAGAATTACGGGTGTCTTCAAATGCTTAAAGGTAACGAAAAGAACAAATATCTTTGTTTTGATCCTAATAATTATCTAATCGAGCTGATGTTTCTTGGTGTTTATAGTACATATTGTAATGATTAAATAACACGTTGCAGTCTGAGCACTTAATATCCTTCTTATGAACTTGAACGAAATGATTAAATAATTCTCTATCTGTATACGACAAGACAAATGATCGCAGATCGTACAAAGCGATATCTAAAAGAGCTAAAAGAGACGAAGTCAAACTAAAAGAAAATTGAAGCCAGCAAAAAAACCAAGCTTACTGAGAATCGTAGGAGTTGTCATAATCAATTTCACAGAACCTCATTTCTCTTCAGAACTAAAACAGCTAGACAAACAAAGCAGTACAGTATAGCTAACTTGTAGAAAATTTACTGACTCTATCATTCCTATCGCAGAATTCAAATGAATAAAACACACCAAAAATCTTTGTATTCGAATGTTAAAAACCTTATGTCAGAGAACACGACCGACTGTGTTATGAGAAAATTTCTAAAAAAAACCTGTTTTTTTAAGGTAATCGTATGAAGGACGTTGAATCATATGAGTAGTGGCGTCACCAGAAAAACTTCGTTGAGGGGGCTCCGCCCCCAGTTTTTCCAAAGTTAAACAAAAGTGACTTAAGTTCTTCTCGAACAATATAATGAAGATGACAATGAGGATATTCAAATATTCAATCCTTGATT